GGGAAACGAGCCCAGTGTGCCAAAGTCGGGTGGAAAAATGAGGGCAAACTCTTCAACAAAGAGAAACAAAAAAAAATTGCGGCCAAGACCGTTCTTTTAATTTTGGATTAGTATCAACCTGTGCACCATTTTAGTGTTTTGTTCTCAAGCATTTCGATTGCAATTTTTAGTTACGAAATAAATTATCTCAGATTTAGAAATGTTAATTTCTATGTTTTAAATGGGTATAGTTTTAATTTTTGGAATACTCCAATGGTATCATTTCAATTTTTCGTCAGGTTACAAAAACACACAAAAAAATTGCAAACACCGCAAAGAAAGGTAAGAAATAAATGAAAACACCTCCACCTTTGCCTGCAGAGGCACCGCCACTTTTATTCGCCGTCCGAGCAGCACGCACACGCCGTGCGGCCGATGCAGATGTATGCATATTTGTGCGTGTTTGCGACCGTATGAGAATGTGCCACAACTATAACGGCGGGGCGTCATAAAATGTTGTGCGCCGTCTGGGGAGGGGAACCAGGGGAACAAGGGAGCTAAAAGGGGCGAGTAAACGAGACGAACTACGCGCCGCCCGATTCGCGCATATACACAGAGTCCGTGCCTGGCCATACATTTGCATATTTTATGTCATGAACTCCTAGCATGAGGGAAGGGCAAAAGGCAAAAGGGGGGGGGGTCACAGACCAATAATACGGAAGGCAGAGTGGGGTGGGGCGGAAGCAGCAGGCTCATTTCAATATGACGAACCATGGGCGTGGAGCACCAAAAGGGGCCAGGCCACACTGCAAACAAAACAGTGTCCTTAGTTACACTTTTGCAAAAGGGAAGGGGGGGAGAGAGAGAGAGAGGTTGGGGAGGATGAAGGGACGAGAAGGGGCGAGCGAGAGGAGAATGGAGGAAAAGGGCGAGGCCAAAGGGGCATAAAAGAGGGCGAAGAATAAACACGAAATCAAGATCGAAAGCGGGGCTGGTGGCGTGCGCGGCGTGGGTGGGGTAGCAGCGGGCGGGGCCGCGCCCGCCGGGGTAGGCAGCCAGCAGCGCCCCCACCCTTCTCCACCGCCACGCCCCGCCACGCCCCGCGATGCCCTTTCTATGGGCCAGCCAATCCGAGGCGGGGGCGGGGCACCGCGGCGCGGGGCGTGGCGGGGCGTGGCGCGGCGTGACAGCGCACGCGGGAGTGAGCGTGAGAGAGAGAGAGAGGGAAGAGAGGGAGGGGATCGGGCGCACGGAGGGGATCGGCTGATCCCCTCCCACAGTGTCACACCCCGCGCCTTAGGAACGAAAAATAAAATATACACGAACTGAATAGATCAGCATCAGGATCAAGACCACCCACCCCCAGTCCGGCCGGCGCTTCTAATGCGATGCAGCAAGGGATGAGTCGAGGGGTGAAAGGCCACACAGACTTGAGCAGCGCGGCTGCAGGCGCGCTGTGTCATACACATCCAGCAGTAACTCGGATGGGCGAGTATTACACAAGGACGCCTCGCCACGCCATGCCCCGAGGGACCAAAAGCAGCCCCGAGCCACCAATAAATCAAACACTCGTCCGTCTCGAATCGTTTCTGACCAGGGACGAGACGGGACGGGCTGGCGGGCAGGTCGCGACGGACGGACGAGCTTCATCAAAAACTGAGCAGGGCGGCCGAAATCCACCGCGCCCGGGCGTGGTGTGTGTGTGCCTTTACGACGGAATAAAAATGAAAATAGGAGTCCGTCCAACCCCTCCGCGTCCGTCTGAGGTCAACCAACGCGATGATGTCCACAATCACGGACACATGTGTTTATAACTGTGAACGACGCGATTAAAAATACACATCCGTTTGAGAATAACATATTCTAAAGTAAAGGAACGATCTTGCGTGTAAAACGATAAAAGGAAATGAACCGAAATACTAAATTCCGCAAAAGCATTAACTAAAATAACACGGATACAGACACCAAGCGACACTAATGTTTTAGAACATCACAATTACCATTATTTCATTACATTTCATGTATTTCAAATCATTTCAGATTGTAGTGCATAGGCAGTGTCTGTAAGACGACCGCGACCGCTCTCAAACTGGCAACAAGGTGGCGATGGGCGGTCGGCCCCGCATTACTCTATGGATTAATTACTTGAAGAGGGAGAGATGGGGAGAGGGAGAGAGAGAGATAGAGGGAGAGCGTGGGCGAGCCGCGCGCGCCGGGTGGCGCCACCGGGCTGGGTTTTCCCTCGGCGGGCCGGGCCGGGCCTGGCCGTGTAGCCCCACCTGCAGCAGGTAGCGCAGGGCAGCAGCGAGTCGATAGGCCGTCCTTATATGTCACCTGTCCGACCAGAGCGGGATCGACAGATATATAGGAATACGTTGGCCTGTGTGGGCGGTAAAACCAGAGACGGGGCGGCCGACGACATATCACCACCACGGGGCCCGCGTATGGATGCCGAAGTCAACCCACCACCACCCCCGACGCCGATGGCGACGGCGTTTACCATTCGATGAGGACGTCAGGTTGGGGATCAGATGGATGCTCTCGGGCAGGGGGAGCCCCGGAGCAAAGCCACACCACCCCGGAGGTCGAGGGCCGGGAGCCAGACCAGCACGAGCAGCTGGGGCAGCACATGCAGGGCGTTGGTCCGGAGTGGCTGCATTAGGGCTAATCCCCCGTGATGCACCCGAGTGCATGCACTCGGTGCAACGCATGACCTCACCGGGTGGGGCCGGGCGGGGCCGGGCGGGGCACGGGTCCCGCCGTGCACGTCCTTCCCGGGCTCGAGCGGCGCGCCGCCCCCGCACTCTTGCGACGGGCTGTACGTAACGATCCTGTCCAAATCCGGCCAAAAAGGCGAGCGGCCATACAGGTGGGCGGGCGAGCGCCCCTCAGGGGGTGAAAGGGTTCGGCGCCCCGGCAATTCCACGCCCCAGAGCGCCCTGGGGGCAGGGACCCCCGAGGGAGGGCAGACTTGCTCGTGTATTTCTGTGAGAGCTTAACCTTGTATTCCTTGTATTTTGTGGAGTTTTTCATGTGACTTTTGTATGTGTTTCTGAACCTACTACTGTCTATTACAGAATATTTTGTTGAATGCATTGATGGCACTTGGTTTGGAGATGGCCCGCGCGGAGAACGCCCACAACTTATTACGACAAAAAGGACAAAATTGCGAAAGGGTTTCGTGCCGTCGAGAGTTTCTGATCATAAAGAGCGCGCCCATGTCCGTGATGGCCCTGCAGGGTCACGGGGAGTGGCGGAGCGTGGCCGGCAGCCCTTGTGGCCGGCGCCCCCGCTGCGCACAGCACCTGCAGGCCAAAACACATACGCCGGCCTCCGAGAAGTAACAGAGATAAAAACAATAAAGGGTGTACCAAGCCATCTAAGCCAATTTAATCAGCGCCGGATCGATAAAAGCACATACCTCATTACCTCAGCCAGTCGTATAACCCCCATACGTCCAACCACATACAAAAACAAACAT